CTGAGTCCCGCTGCCGGGGATCCCATCCTTACTCCTTGGATTTTAATATTATTTTCTTATTTATTTATTTTTTCCTAGGAAAACACCGAACCCCAGAGAACAGCGTTCCTGCTGCGCAAGCAGTGGACGTTGTACAGCGTGACCCCGCTGTACAGGTTCTCCCCGGCTCGCCTGAGGGATTACGCCAGCCTGCTCAGTGCCTTCATCGCTGCCGAGAAGCAGAAGGGACTGGCGGTGGAAGTAGGGGTTGAGCTGGACATCAAAGTGGCTGTCTCCAGCCTTCCAGACCTGAAAGGGAGTGACCAAGACCAGGCTGGAATTCTTGTGCAGGTAAATAGTCTTCTTAGCAGTCTTGATAGTTATAATTGACACTTGGCATCTTGCAAAAATTGCTTTTGCTGTCATAAAATCCTCTATCTTTAAAAAAAAAAAACCCAAACAACTCCACCCTAGCTGTATGGAATAATTGCTGTAGTATCTGTTGAGACTTAATGAAAATTAGTTCTGTTTTTAAATGGAACAGAACACCCCATAAACAATGGGTACATTTAATTACAATTTTGAGTTCAGCTTTTTGGTAAGTTCGGAGTAAGACTGTCAGGAGCAATTCTCTAATTTTTTAGCTCAGCAGTCAATTTGCTGCAAGTGCTTGGACAAGTTAAATTCCTGGATAAAGCTGATATAATCCTACATCCTGCTTATAGCTCAAGTCTAATTAATATTTCTAAAATGCTTTGCCTCAAGTAAAAGAAGCTGTTGATATGCCAAGTGCAGAATGGCAAAGGTTACGGGATGTGCCATGGACTGGCTTTTCTTAAGCAACATAAACTCAGATTTCAGGACTGTTCTTAATGAAGTAAAACATGCTTTTCCAACTGTTTTCAAGAGAATTGCACACATTTTTAGAGATGTAATGGACAGATTAACTGTATGAGCTTTACAGAGAAGAATGTTGCATGCGAGGTCTTGAGAAAAATCTTATACCAAACATTTGGAATTATAAAACAAAAACCATCTTTGGCTAGAAAAAAAAAAAGTCAAACTTGCTCTGTAGCATTCAAATGATTCTTTTCCCTATCCCAGCTTTCTTTGAGATCACAAGCTTCCAAAAAAAACTCAGAAGAGAAAATGGTATGGTCAGGTTGGTTCTGCTGTGTGTTTGGAGATGATCTTTCCAAGAACGTCCCAGAGGACTTCACTTGTCTACCTCTGTTTCTTGCTAACGGGGCCGAGAGTTACACGTCCATTGTTGGAAGTTGGTTTCAGAAGACTTTTGACTGCCGCTTCCGCCGTTTAGCCATCAGCCCTCTCAGTCTCAGCTGGATGGCAGCTATGTGGACTGGATGCAAAGTGGACAAAACTACATCTGCCATGGAACTCGTGTTCTCTGTCCCATCTCTGCCTTACCCTCTGGATATTTCATATGCCATTCATCCAGAGGATGCAAAAGCTCTGTGGGACACAGTCCAAAAAACTCCAGGAGAGATCACTCAAGAAGAGGTGGATGTCTTTATGGACTGCCTTTACTCTCACTTCCACAGACACTTTAAGATCCACTTGTCAGCTACAAAACTGGTGAAAGTTTCTACAGCAATTGCCTCAGCACACTGTGATGGGATCATAAAGGTGAGGTTTTTAACTAGCACGTTGTCCTAACTAATGCTGGACAAATAAAATAGCTGTACCTGTCTAAAAATGCCTTTAAAAAAAAAAGAAAGTTTCATGTTTCTTATGTGTAACTTCCTACAAAAAGTTGTTAAACCCTCAGCTTTTATTAGTCATAATTAGTTCTGGAGTTGGGGCAGCTATCAATGCAGTATTTAACTACAGCATTGCAGCAGAAGCTGCTAACCCTAGTCTTGGGCCAGAAACGTGTATTAGCTGCAGGATGAACAGGAAAGTTTCTTTGCCCATTGGCCAAAACTTAGGCTTAAAAACATCCAAAACTTAGTAAAAAACCTTTTAAAAAGTTAATTAGTTTTCTAGTATTGCAGTTATTAAGACACAGACAGGAGACAAATATAATCAACCTGCTAAACAGAAATAACTGGTGTGGGTGAGCTAAGAGATGGATGATCTTAAGAGTCAAAATATCTTGTATAAAACTACTTTGCTTGTAACACTTTTCCTAAGGGTGCTGGTCTCCCTATAGAGGTATCTGTAATAGGCTTTAAAACCACGGAGGATTAAACTTTCCTTAAGTTTCTTCAAGGAATACAATATGGGCTTCCGAGTTAAAGAACACTTTGTGTAAATGCAGGTGCTTAAATTTAGTCTGTCTATGAGGTGCTGACTTCATTGTTCTGCGTACAGAGGGAATGTCAGAGGCTACAGCAGAGACCCCACTCATGCACCTCTTTCCTGGAGCATAAATTCATCAAATCAAAGAAAATAAGCTTTACTGGGAAGCATCTCTTGACAATTTCAGCCTTCTGTAGGACAACTGCAAACCTGCAAGTTAATGTTACATTCCCTGGTTTTACCTGTAGTAGTTTAAAAGTGGCTGAAACAACTTTTTATGCTGCAGTAAGTAAAACACAAGTGATACTCAACTGAATACACATTCTGAAGAAGGGTGCTCTTCCAGAATGTGTGTTGTGTAAACTCAGTTTATGGTTCTTCCATGAGTTCAAGTCAGACATCCATTCAGTATGGGAAAACAGGGGTACTCAGTGAAAACTGTCAGTCTCCTTCCTGGCCTTCCTACAGAAGGAGGGAGGTAGCCAAAGGAACAAAAGTGTTAGGATTCTCACCTTCCAAAAAGCTGCAGTAGGAGCAGGGCATTTCTTAGGTACCCTGTTTCACAAGGGACAGGAGCAAAACTCAGAGGGCTTTGAAAGGAGCAGCATGTTGGCATGTGTGCTTCTCCATATCCAGAGTCAAAATAATAACAACAGTACCTTGCAAACAACAGAGAAGCTGACTAATCACACGGAACACTAAGAAGTTGGTTTCCAACCATTTAAGGGTGTGAAAATCTGGCAACTGCAATTTTTGACATGCTTTTTTTTCTTCTTTCTTGCAGTTTCTACAAAGCCAATATCTAACTGGAGTGCTGATGCTACTGACAGAACTAGCAATCTCTCAGATACAGTGAGAGTCATTTCAGCAAATCCTTATGCTAAAAAGGCTTACTGTTGGAAGATGCATGCTGAGAAACTGATGGGAAACTCACTCCTGCAGCATCTTTCCTTTCATGCTGGCTGTCTGAAGTTGGACTCGACTCCTGCACTCAACTCATAACTAGCTGTAATTCAACATCATGCATAGCAAAGACAAGCAGACATTTTGCCCTAAAGAAGGGCTACAGTACAAACTTTTAACAGTTTCTTAAGCATCTTTGTTTTATCGTAGTCACTTGGTTCATTTATGTGTAAATATCAGCCAGGGGCATGGAAAAAAAATTACAAATTCTTGGATGCAACTTATTGACAGATATTTCTGTGGTTTGAAACAGCAAGTTGGTTTTCACTTAGATAGCCTAAGCTATACAGACCTTGGCCTTAGCTAAACTGTGACTACTCTTGGGCCAGTCTAAATGCAAAGTCAAGCACACCTGAGAAAAGGTGCATGCTCTTCTACAACCCAGGACAGAAAAATCCAGGTCTCTAACTTGCTTTCTAGCTTGCTAAGGCCAGTTGGTAATGGTCATAAAGTGTTCATCTGTGTCCCAGTTGGGCTGAGGTGAACAGCATGAGACTGACACCTGCCTTTTGTGTCCAGCCTTTAGTTAACACATAGGAAACTGAGGTCTGTGTATGAGCTAGATATTTACTACGATTTGCCTGGTGTTTGTTGTCTTGGATGTAATCTTGTAGGCCAGAGAGCTCCTGGGGTTGGAGCTCTGGGTGCTACAATTTTATACTAGATCTCTAGTTGGAGCAGGTTGGAGTTTGGAGAGCCAGCACATAGTGCCTGGCTCTAGCTTAAAGGAGCAGAAAGGAAGTAGAATAAGTACATGCCAAGTCTTATGATTTTTGTATTACAGTACTAAATAAAGAAAATATTTCCCATCTTGTGCCAGTAGCTTGGTCTTGAGCAAAGTAAAGACCACCCATGCCTGATTAAATACGTACTTATATGGCGCTTATTTCCAACTATAGCTTACCTGACTAAACTACTAGTTGTTGACTATTAGTAATTCTGTGAGCAGCAAAATTTAAAGTCTAGTTTCCCATACAATTCACTTGTAATGGTTTCACACTTGTGCAGCATCTCTGAGGTCTGATAAGTTTGTGCTGTGACTTTCCCCCTAAGCAGGGATGCAAGTTTTCCCTTCTCTGTCCAACCACATACTTCTAGGATTGATTTGTCAGCTGTCACTAAAAACATTCTTCATTCTTCTCCCCAGCCATGCAAACATGTAACTGCCTAACAAGACATAACTCCCTGCCTAGTTCCTAATTTACTTTTAATAATCTATTTCCAGAATTAGCCAAAGAAACATGCACTTATTTTCAGTTTTTGTTTACTAGTTGAAGATGGATTATTTTTGCATGTAACAGTTGCAGTCTGTGAAGTGATAACTCTTACCCTGGTAGAAGCAGCTGAGCAATCTTCTGAAGGTCTTGACAGCTCAGCAGCTATTTAAACTATCACTCCTGGCGCTTTATTTTCCTTTTATGAAACATCTTAGACAAAGTTTCCTATCTTGATTCAGAGGAACACTGGGTAAAGCAGGAGTAGGAGGTCTGACATAACTGGCACCTGTATTTGATTTGAAAACAGGACTGTTACACCCATGGCTTAGTTTTGCATCTAATGCTCAGATGTTCTCTAAAAAAACTAAATTCCCCATAGCTGCTTTTAACTTCTTCCTTGCCTTTAAGAACACAGACTAAGTAGCATGTGAAACTGCAGTGGAGTATGTATATGAACTACAGCCATACTCAGCTTTCAAGAGTGATGCTTTGCTAGAAGGTATTGCTGGAAGGAAAAGCTACTTCTCTTTTTTAGATGCTTGGGAGTCTGGCCCTCATTGATAACTGAAGTGAACAGAGCTAGATTTAGCCAGATAGTGCAGGCTCTTTCTTCCAGAAAGAGCTGGTTCTGGATGATGTACTCCTAAGCAATTGAGGGTAACACTAAACAGAGTTTTAACCCAGTTTAACTTGGGCTGGTATCTGAAAAAAAAAAAAACAACAACAAACCAACAATAACAACAAAAAAAAAAAAAACCACAAAACCAAAAAAACCCCCACCAAACCCCACAAAAACCAAACCCCAGCATCTCTGTCCACACAAACTATACAAAAGCACAGTCCACTTCTTTCACCCAAAGGAACAAACAAAGAACAGCATAGAAGAAATTTATTAAGATAGCACTATTTATACAAGTTACTCATGCTAGAAAAAAGCATAAATGATACATGTAAACATTTGTTTACAGAATACTTGTTTTCCTTGTAAAGGTGCAAGTGATCTTCATATGTAAACACAAGAATACCAACCTTTAGGGGAAAAGGGGCTTTTAAAAAAGTTTTAATGACCCATTTATTACTGTAGTGTAATTTTTACTATACTCAAGCACATTAAAATCTGAGTTATATGAATCAAACTATGAAGTTAAAGAATTTAAGATGTCAGCACTGTCTTTGATCTCCAGAATTTACAGTCCTCTTACTCTTTTAAAATCAGATTTAGTAAGGTCCAAAGTTATATCAGGTGCAAAAGGTCATTCTTTCATACTAGATAGAAATTACAGTACAAACATATCAGAACCTTTGAGTCTAGAGTTCCTCCTTCCTCTCCCCCCACCCCTGGGTGCCTCCACAGTCACTGAAACATGA